TGTATAACTTCTAAATCACCAGGAAAAAAAAAATTTTAATCTTTTTTTTTAAAGATGTATTTATTTATTTGAGAGAGCGAGAATGAGAGAGAGAGAGTACATGAGAGGGGGGAGGGTCAGAGGGAGAAGCAGTTTCCCTGATCAGCAAGGAGCCTGATGTGGGACTCGATCCCGGGACTCCGGGATCATGACCTGAGCCGAAGGCAGTCGCTTAACCAACTGAGCCACCCAGGTGCCCGAAAAAAATTTTTTTAATGATCTAAGAAAATGCTCAGGAGACCTTAGCAACTGAAAGACTGTAAATGGAAAGATCAGAATATAAAACTACCGACACAATATGTCCCAACTTTGAAAGTATGTACATATAGTAAAAACTGAAAGAAATACATGGAAATTTAATAGTTGTTGAGAATGGGTGACTGTATTATCATTGTGTGTTTTCTAAATTTTCTACAATGAGCATTATTACTTTTATAATCAGAGAAAATTTTAACATAAAAACCAAAATGAAGTATTATGGTTATGTCTCAGCTTTCGGTAGCATAACCTAGCTAGAAAACAATCCGTTATCACAAATTAAGCAAAAATGACTCTGAACAGCCAAAATGCATGTCATGACACACCTAAAGATCAGGGTACTGTGTTCAAGAGAGCCTTTCATAACTTCTTTTATACGTATCAATTCCAACAAGCTTGATTACCTGATGTTCTAGTAGCACTGCAGATACGACACACAGAGCATGGTGTAAAGTGATAGGCCCAGCCTCACAGTAGGAAAAAAGTGACAAAAATACAATTACAAAACAGACTTCAACATGCGCAAAGCAGCCGCAGGACAATTACGGCAGAGTCATCCCTAAACAACTGAATATATTTCCACAAATAATATGATAACCGATATTCACTGTAACAACTCTTGAGTTAAATTGTTCAAAGGCCAGTTCCTCTGAACACAGGCTGGCTGGTTGAAGAAGGGAGAAAAATTCCTAATACGTTTTAGAAAAAAGATTGATCATAAATATTTATGATAAAAAGTTAGAGTGCTTAAAGAGAATATCCTCAGCTCTCCAGAGCAGCTCACTTCTGCGAGTTCCACAGAATTGGAATTTTACTATATTGAAAAGGATTTTATAGTTGGCTGCATCGACCAATACAAATCTGGAGAAAAATCTAGAAGGAAATGATTAATGACTGCTTCTTTCCAAAGAAGTTTAAAAATAAGTAACCATAGGCATATCAGAATTAGTGTTAACACAGCAATTGCTACTAAATGCAGCCTGATGGTTTTTTTGTTTGTTTTGTTTTTGCTTTACTCCATATTCCCAGCAGGATTTATGTACCTCGGAGGTAGGTGGGACCTATTAGCTTATTAGGGTAAAATCAGTAAGCCCCATTCCATCACACACAGCACATTTGAACTGAAGAAATATATATTCTACCTCTTTCACACTTGCCTCTTGTGCTTCTGACTTCAAAAAGCAGGGATACAAAGAAAAGGAAGAAACTGATTATGTTTATATCTGTGGAACAAAGATTATGCAAACTGCCAGCACTCCATTGTTTTTGTTTTCAGTATGGTTATCACAAAACAAAAACAAAAAGATAACTTCTACATCGGAAGCCTGATAATTTGAAAACAGACCTGAATATTTCCTCCTCTTTCAATAAAGCAGTAAACACCTTTCATTTTACTTATCTGTAAGGTACTTATTTGCTGATATGGACTAGTTACGATTTCCATAAGAGCTTGACAGTCTATCTGAGGAAGCTGTTTCCTGAGTTATTCTGAAAGTACCCTAGCTGCTTTAACATTTGCCAAAAATCCAAGAAAGAATTAAAAAAAACTACACACACACCCAGAGCTAACAAGAGAAAAACATAATCATAACCTTGGTTAGTGGTTGGTCCTTTACCACTCTGACCACTATGACCTCTCCAAGCTTCTATTTGTCTTTTGTTTGTTCCTTTTTCTTTTAAATAACGCTACTGGTTGTTTATCTGATTAACAAAAGTAATACATGGTCAATATCACAACATGAAGATGTATGAAATAAAAGTGATAATCTCTGTCTCCCGCACCCTCTCATTCCCCTGCCAAAGAAACCAATGTTAACAGCTAGGTGTATATTCTTACTTCTTCCTAGGCCTACAAAAAATATATATATTATATGGGAGGGAGGGGGTGGTTCACTTATTCGTTTTCAAGAAAAAATGGATTATATATATTATTAGTCTTAAAAATATGGACACTTTCCAAGCCAGTATATACAGATCCTTCACATTCTTTTTAATGACTACAAAATATTCCATAAGATGGATAATTCATTCATACCATCGCCCCACCCTTCCCAAAGCGTGGACATTTAAGATGGATCCTTTGTACCTAGACTTCATGTCCTTTAATTTCAGTAACACGGATTCCCAGAAGTAGAGTTTCTGGGTCAAACGAAACATTTTCAAATGTTTAAAATTTTATCCTTAAACAAAATTAATTTTAGACCTTCAACATTTCTGTTCCCTTCTTCATTATACAAAATTTTGGCATAAACCTTTCATAATGCTTTGCATATTTTATTTTTTGAAAGCACACATATTATGTCAAAAAACGCCCCCGTCATTTATGCTCATGTAGTTATAAATAAATAAATGCTTAAGTTATGGCTGTGATGGTCAGCGTTAAATCACTGTGAAAATGCTTCTGCCTTGGTTTATGAAAGTAGTAATTCATTGTGGAAACTCTACCCCCACAGCCATGTGGGCAACCCCAAAGTAGCAGCTCCCTCACCTTGTGACTCTCTCCACTGAGTGACGATATAGAGATCAGGACCTACATATTTTCTAATTGTCAACAGTTAACCTTAAAAAGTGTGTGTGGTGGGAAGACAAGTACACAGCAACGACAATAAATTGAAAGTCATTATGGGTTTCTAATATCCACAAATTATTTGTAGTATAATGAATAATTCTGATGGTCTACACCAGAGACTATCTTTCATAAAAAAAAAAAAACCTATAACCAATGTGTTGCTTGATTACATGAACCTTTCAAAACCATAGTCCTCCAACATTTTTTAGTAGAATTATTGGTTGGAATCCCACTTTTACCTTCTTCCCCCCTCTACTTCAGATTCAGATTCTGATTGCAAACTGTAAAAAAAAAGCCTTAAAGAAATGCATTAACCAATGAAGCTCCTTAAAATTTAATCTCAGACTCCTCTGTAGATTCTAAAGACCCAAGCACCAACAGAGATTGTTAAGACACAGCAAGTTTGACACAGAAGTATGTGACATGCAATTAATCTCCATTCATACCCTGCTCTACTTGTCAGCAAACAAAGGTTCTGCTTTAGAAGGAGATCTGAAGACTTCAATTAAAAACAGTCAGCTAACAAGAAAATAATCTAAGCTAAAGGAAGGTGACAGGTGCAGAAATGAGTTGTTTACCAAAGTGTCAGTTTTGAACAATAAAGAACTGCACATCAAAAATGTTAAAGGAGTGGATTTCACTGCAAGCCTCTGAAAATAAAAAGGAATTTTCTACTAAGGCTGCACACAAAACGGAAGTATAGTTTAACAAACTTGTAAAATAAGTTTTCTCTCATCAAATGACAGATACCAATAAGAAGAATCACTTTATATTTTTTAATGCAAGGACAGAATTACCCTTTCTGCTACAGTTCCTTCTCTCCCAGAAACCACCACACTTAACAGCCTCTCTTTACATTCAACATCCAATATTGAACCAAGGGCAGAGGGAAAGGCTAGATTGCTTTTTCTCAGACACCCAGATGATGCTATTTTACCCTACAAATAGTTTTCTACTCTGAAAGTTTAGATTGACTCGGGTCATAAGTAAAGTGGATTTTGGAAACTTCACCTCAAAAGAAATACCTAGTTGACAGCTTTTACATAGAAGCAATCCAGAATGGAAACAGTGCTACAAACAGAGACCAAAAGGACTGCCAAATATTTGATTAGGAGGCATTTATACTGAGATAACAAGGTAATGGAGATATAAAACCAATTAAATTGAGAGAAACTGAAAAAAAAAAATACTCCCTTGCCAAAAGTCTGACCTGCCCAAAGCAGGCCATCTGTTAAACATGTGTCAAAAATGTCACTTGGATGCCAAAAGGCTTAATTCGGAGTAGTTTCCTCCTGGGCCCCTTATGCAAGCACAGATTCCAGGCCTCTGTCCTTCTAGGAAAGTCAGTTACAGGAAAGCAAGTTACTTTCTCCAGAAAAAAAGTGTGAATGGAGCAGGTGATATTGCCCATTAGCAAAAAAGTCTCTTTCCAGTGTTAGAAGGATCTGTGGAGTGTCGCTGAGTATGGCCTTAACTCTTCAGAGGACTGCTTAGGCACCGTAGTTTGAAGGTAAACACACCAGGATGGGGCATTTCTAGAAAAGTTGGAAACGTACTACTGCATCCGCCTGCCCTGGGTGGACAGCAAGACCCCCAGAAGTCTGCAGGTTGGCAAAGGGAGGCCCGGGTTTTTCGGCGCCAACAAAACTCACACTAACCCCCAGGCCTTGGCCAACAGCATCCCACGAGCCCCTCGCAGCCCCCGGAGAGCCTCAAGGAGCTCTGAGCGGGAAGGTAAGGGGGCTTCGAGGCTGGGGAGGGAGGAAAGCAAAACCCCACAGGCGCGGGGGGCTGTCCCGAGGAGAAAGGGTCCGGCCAAAGACCACTCAGGGTGACATGGAGGGCACCCCAAGAACCTGGCCGGAGGTGACGTGGAGGGGTGGCGACGCCTCGTGGGAAAAGAAAATGTGCAACTGAGGGGAGTGAATGGGACCCTGAGCGGGCAGGATGAAAATCTGGCTGTGCAGAGTTGAGGGCTCTAGAAGTCTTGAGGTTCTAGAAGGCGGCGGGTGATGGAGTTGAAAAGAGAGGCCCGTCTTGGGACCCCCTGGCGTCTCGGGTCGGGCCTCCAGCTCGGCACCTGAGGGACTTCCCAGGGGGTCGGGACGGGCCTGGGGCTGGGCCGGGGCGTTACCTTCCATGAGCCAACGGATCTCCTCGGGGAGGGCGACGGCCTGCATTTGGCCGGGCGGTGGGGAGGCCGGAGTGTGAGGCGGGAGAGGGGCGTGAAGGCCTGGGGCCAGGGCCGGCGGGCTGGCAGGCGGCTGTCGCCTGGCGGAGGCACCTGTACCTCTGCCGCCGCCGCCGCTGCCGCAGCTGCCCGGCCTGGCCGCAGGGCGGGGCGGCGCGCCCTGGGCGCGCTCAGGAAGTGGCGCGCGCGGCGGGCGGGGGGCGCGCCCCGGGCGGCGGGGGAGGAAACACCTGTGCGCGGGTGCACGCGCCACGCCCGCGGCGCCCTCAGGTGGAAGGACTGGGGGGCGGGGAGCGCTGCACAGGCTAACCCCCCCACCAGAACAAAAGACTAAACGCGGCCCAAAGGAACTTCATCTCCTGGGACACTTTCTATCCTAAGCACGGGGCAGTTGGCCTCAAGGGGCAGGTTTAAAAGCCACGGTGGTGCCGGAGATGGGGCGCCGAGAGGCAGAATCCGAGGAGATTCGTCCCCGCCAAGCCCAGCAGCAGGCAGTTCCCGATCCAGCTCTCACGTCCACGCCCCGAAAACCAGGGCAGAACGTTCACTGTCTCGGGCAAACCAGCTGGCTAAAGGGAATGGCCACACGTCCCACTAAATAATATAAAGCCACCAACATTGGGGAGAAGCAGCGGCAGGGCGGCAGTGGATACAGGGAGCTAGTGTCCCTTCCTCACTAAGGCTGAAAGGATGTGAGGGAAGGAAGGGGTAACCTGGGGAGAAGACCGAGGGAGAGGGGAACCAAGCCTTTTCCCTCTAACAGCTGACAAAGGGAGGAAAGTGAAGGATAAGATCACAGAAAAGTGTTCTCCTCCCCTCATCCAAACTACGAGTGGGGGTCAGCGTCCTGGTTGTGATATGGTACTGTCATATTGCAAGATGTTAAAAGCGGGGGAAACTGAGTAAGGGGTAGAGAGGATCACGCTGTATCATTTCTTTTAACTTCTGCAAATCTCGATCTCAAAATAGTTTCGTGGGGTTTTTTAAGCACAATAAATCAAGTGCCATGAAAGTATAAAGTGCCATGAGCGGTAAAAGGAGGGAGACAAATATAAAAAGGAGTGAAGTGTGGGTCCATGTGTGTTTAATGGCGCATATGGCATTCAAGATGGGCTCCGAACACACCAGACTTCCAAGGGGCAGGAGGGCTTTCCAGGTGCAACGACAAGAGTAAACAAAGATGGAAAAACCTTCTGCTTGAGGAATAGCTAATAACCCTTTTACTGGATGGTGGAGGGAAATTACAGTTGTCAAGAAAATTTTATCGTTTTATCGTGAAGGGACACGAAAGTCAGAACAAGGATTTTGAACTCAACCGAATGTGCACTGGGGAGACACTGACAAATTTTGAGCTGGAGAGCGACCTGTGTAGTGTGTGATCTTGCACATCTCACTTTACCTCTACTGTTTTCCTTCAGAATATGTGGGAAGGATTAGAAGCTGTAAGGGAGAGAACACAGGGAAGATCCGTGAGGTGGTTTTTACAGCAGCCTCAGGGAAAATAATGATGGAACCATGGATACGGGGACGGGAGCCACAAGGAGAAACTGTCCAGAAAGACATGGCGTCGCACTCCCTGCCTCCTGGCATAGTTTCCCAAGGTTGGGGGCTTGATCCTTTAAGGGGTGCAGTGGTTTTGAGTCATCTTTACACGGCCACATCCTGCAATCTGAAGAGGAATGGTCCTTTGGTTTCAGGATCACATGACCCACCTACAAGTTGCAGCAAACTGGGCTGGTGGTGGGCTGGCTGCTGATGCCGCTTTTGCTCCTTCTTGCTCTGGAAAGTTAACAATAGACAGGCTGCCTTCTCTAGGCTCCAGAGCAAATACTGGGTCCCTGCTAGGGCATTTTTATCATACTCAACTGCTCCTTCTATAAAATTGTAACTGCTCTGGAATCATTTTTGAATGCTTATGACATATTAAAAAGCAAGGGAGGATATATCAGAGCTCTCTGTACTAGCATCGTAATTTTTCTGTAAATCCGAAACTGTTCTTAAAAAAAAAAAAAAAGCAAGGGAAGAAAGTCCCTCCTATACATAACCCCAGCACTTTGCCTTTTTTCCCCCTCTCAGCAGTGGGGGGAAATTTGACAACCCCCCCCAACCTTCTTCAAGGATATTTGTCAAATGCTAATATAGGCCACAAGCTAATGAGTTGTTTGGCAAAGAGCAATGAACCTGGGTAATCTTTCGTCCTCTCAAGCCTGCATAGCTTACTTATACCAAAGGAAGCAGCAGAAACTGGAGGCATAGGTATTCTACATCCGTTCTGGGTCTCAGATGGGGGAGAGGGAGGTGCAGAGTTGGGTAGTGTGTGGTGGGTGACTGGCAGATTGCAATACGGCATTGTCATGTTGCATCAAGTTTCCTCGTTGCAGACAGAAACCTGCCTCCACACATGAGCGCGGCCCCTCCTTAATCATCTGAGGACCCTGGTTCAGCAGTCAGCCTCCCTCCTAATGACATTCTGTTAAATGGACAAATTCCTTTGAAGCCTTGTCCTTCTTTGAAATCCAATTTCGCAAGAAGCCAAATCTGATTGGGGGTAGCCATGGAAACCACACCGAGGAGTCTTTGAGAAGGTGGAGAGAGGCAAGGCCAAACGGGATAGTCGAGAGTCCTTTACTGCTCTGTCGGAAATATCAAAGGGATTTGGAGAGGTTGGCAGCAGGTGAGTCCCTGCCCGGGTCCTTTTCTGTGTGGCTGGGTACCACGTGGCTGTCATGGAAGTAAGCAGCCAGCTGTCTCCGCACACAGGCAGGAGGATGGAGCAGAATACACAAATCCCAGATCTGTCTGCCTCCCTCTTCTTCCCCTCCCCCAGCCCCAATTCCAGCAAGCTCTTAGCATCCCCTTCGAAGCTGCCTGCCCCTTAAAGGCAAACAACAAAAGAATGACAAGGTCAAAATACAAGGCCCCCCCGACAGATAAGAGGTCCTTCGGAGCAGAGGCCACGAAATTAATCTGAAATTCCTTGTAATTAGATAAGATAAGGGTATCTAAAGAGATGCAGAGCAGCCAGGAATGGAGTCCAGCAGCACAACATGCAGAAAATATACCGCCCGATCCACTGGGGCCCCTCACACAACTGTCAGCAGACAGAAGACACGGGAAACAGGGTCCATGCCAGGTTCTGGGCTGCTTGGAGATGCCATCTACATGTTCTCATGCCAGGTGGGCCCTCACTAAATATGCATCTGCGGGGTGTCCAGGGGGGCTCAATCAGGACGAAGCAAAAGCATCTGGCACCCAGAATGGCATGGGGTGGGATCAACTGCAAGCAAAGCAGGAGCCGTCTGGCATTGCTCCTCCCTGGGTGAAATGGGTCTGGAGAGGAGACTGTGGAGGGCAGGCTCTTGGACTTTATTCTGAGCTGGTTATTGATCCCTGGATGCTGGGTCACGACACGCGGCCAAGCTGACGTCTGCCCTGTGGATGTGCGGCTGCTGCATCTCAGCCCCTTGGTCCCAACCCCATCAACCGGGTTTATTGACTCTTTTATTGACGATGCTGGGGCCTAATGAGGACAAGAGCTGCACACTTCATTAAGGGCTGTGGAAGGAGAGATGATGCATCCCACCCGGTGCCAAGAACCAGGCTCACTGCGTGCTTTGCGAGGCCCCAGAAACCCAGCTTCATGCCACCCCAGAGGGAGAGGAGACGGACACGAGAGGTGCACGTGGGCTCATCACTTCAGTGGCCTTAAAAATGCAGGGTGTCTACAACCCGCCGGAAGCCCTGCTCTTAGTAATTAGCCAGCCTTTGGAATCGGGAGGATCCTATCCACACACTCACACAAATGCACTTTGATGGTCTCCCTTCCCAGTTCACACTCCTAGATTCTCTGCACTGATACATACAACAAAATAAGCAGGTCCTCACATCAGGGAACAGGCTGAAAGCAGCTTCTTAATGAGGTACAGGCTCAGAACAGAAGAAAGGACTATTAAAACTCAAAAATATCTTCAGGGTGATCACATTCAAGATGAGGAACAAACCTAGTGCTCTGCCCATGGTCACTCAGCTCACCAGGGTCTGTGCTGGAGTTAGAAACTCGGTTCTCTGGCTCTGGTCCAAAGCTCTTGTAGAACTGAACACCTGAGATGGATAATTACAGCCCAGGGATGACAGGGAAGTGATCTGGGAAGGCACCATTGTTGGGCTCCCTCCATCTAAATAGTAACATGTTTTTCTTTGTTCTTTATCTCATCTTTCTATCACACCCACCCCTGTTATTTTTCCCCATATTCCCCAATCACTTGTTTTTTGTATCTTCTTTGCCTATCCCTTAGACCATATTAGACATCCCCCATGGGCACTGCTGAGCCCAGCAGAAACCCTAAAGACCAAAGAGGTTGCTGACTCTGACATTCTCTGTCTTTGATTGCCTCTCTTGGGAATCTGAAGTGGAGTGGGGCACACAGAATGTGTCAGCTGTAGCCAGATGAGGCTGTGCACTCTCTGAGTGAGATGTGCAGGCCCTCTATGGGGTTAATCTGCATGGGAGGCAGGTGGGTCTGGGCCAATTTTATATGCTAGATATTTGCAGACATGAGAACTTTGGGAAATTATACAGAAGGAGAAACCATTTATTTGGGGGTGATTAAGGAGATTTAAGGTAAATAATAGAGGGATGGCAATTTTTTAAGGGTGAGCAGGCTTTCTTTGGTTTCCTTTCATCTGTTATTTCAAAGGGTGAAAGTTTAAGCTAAGCTCTTTCCTTTATTTCTGTCCTTTCTTCTCCCTCATTTCACTACAGATCTGAGGATTCAAGGTAGAGGTAGGGGGGGATTCAAGGTGAGAGAAGAGGCAGTTATTCAGAATCTGATAGAAATCTCTGGCCTGCACGGCCCATGTGCACACATGCTTTGGAAGAATAACTTACCAGTTGATGTAATCTGACTGGAATCACCAGTAGTCAACAAATACCAACAGAAGCACTATGTGGAGTCAGAGATAACACAGCAATGGCAGATTATTTCAATGTCAGAAAGTAGGTAAAAATACCTTTCTCCCATGGACATCCTATATGTAATCGCCTATTTGTCCCCAAAATATGTTTTTTCCTTGCTCTCAGAATTGTGTCAGTGTCCATTTTAGTTTCTCCCTTTCTAAATGTCTGTTCCCAAAC